GGAAAAAGTGGGAATGTAAGACCAAGTTCTAAAGGAACAAGTATGAAAGTTCAAGGGGTTTTGAACTTATTGCCCAACCAATCATGAATTATAAAACACTGAAATGTATAAACATTATGAATAATGTTTATTTTTATTTTATTTGTTCTCCTTGGAGAATTGTGACTATGTGGGTTGGGGGTTTCAACAATTCTGGAAAGTTTTTTTTTTTTTTTTAGTCATTTTGGCCTTAATTCTATTTATTGTTTATTTTGTTCTAACTAGAAATTCCACGTTGGACTTCTAAACCATAAATATATGTAAATGACAGAGAAGCATCTGAATGATCTTAAATCCATCAAAAGTTATTTATGAACTTAATACTTTGAGTTAGTAAAGTATTAAGCTTATATTTAATACTTTACATTGTATAGTACATTTCTGAAGTAATTTTCACCTAATCCTAATCCATATTCTGAACTTTCAGGGCTTATGATCTTTCTGGTACAAGAACTAGAATAAAATATAACCACTAATATATTTTCACTAAAATTTTGTTTTTTATTTTTTGAGACAGGGTTTCTCTGGGTAGCTGAAGCCCTGTCTTTCCTGGAACTCACTCCATAGACCAGGCTGGCCTCAAACACAGAGACCTGCCTGCCTCTGCCTCCTGAGTGCTACGATCAAAGGCGAATGTCACCACCGCCCAGTTCATTAAAATGTTTTAAGCACATTGCAAATTTACGTGATCAACAAACTCCCTTCGGGGTTTTATCAGTCTGCTTTTCTTTGGTATTTGTGTATGTAACCATGTGTGTGTAGATGTCAGAAATCAGCAGTGACAGGATGTCATCTTCAGCTGGTCTTACCTTTTTCCCTTGGAAAAAAATATGTATTCATTCTGAGTGCATGTGTATATATATGTATGTGTATGGGTGTGCATGTCGTGATGCCCACGTGGCAGTCAGCAGAAAACCTGCATGAGTTGGTTCTCTCTTTTCCCCAGGTGGGTCTCAGGGATCTAACTCAGGTTGTCAGGCTTGGCAGCAAGTGCCTTTACTTGCTAAGCTATGTCTCAAGGCACTGAACCTTGAGCTCTTCAGTTCAGCCATGCTGAGCAGTCAGTGAGCTCTAAGGATGCTCCTGGCTGCCTCACATCAGCACTGGGGTTACAGATGCACCACACTGGCTTTTGCATGGGATCTCAACTCAGGTCCTCATGCTTGTGTGGCAGATACTTTACTGAATGAACCATCTCCCCCATCTATTACAGCGTCTATGTTTACAGGGGACTGCTTACCAACAATGAGTCTCTGAAGGGCACCCTTATCTCCGTTAACTGCAGCCGCATGAACCTGCAATGCTAATGAGGATCCAGCAGAGAGCACGTTCTCTGAAATGTTCATAGCTTTCTCCACGAGTAACCTGAAACAGCAATTGAGACAATGAGTACAAGCAGAAAACACTTCTACCACCCGCCTTATCAGTGCCAAGTAGGTCGCTCGTAAACATGATTGATTATAGATATTTAAATAGGACCTAACTACTTAACTCCTACTTCTACAGCTGCGATGACAAGGCAAATTAGGACGCTTGTACTATTTGCTTAACTGTAGAATGAGAGGATTTTCTCAAGAAATGAGAAGACATTTACATTAGGGGCAGAGCTTCCAAGTTGTACTCACTTCTAAGATTAATATAGGCAATGTGAGTCCACACAATTCTTATTGAGATCAGACTGTGCCCTGCTTAAAGTTACTCCATATTGGGTACAATAATGGTCTTTCTGCCTGTGCTTTGGCCCGAGAGGCTCCACTTTAGTAAACGCTTTTTAAGTCTGTTTTGAGGATAAAAGATGACTGTGCTCCCAGGTAAAGTAAACATCAGCTCCTGCCAGCACCACCCATCCAGCACAGAGTGGTAAATGACTGTGCAGAGTCATGAGGGATCAGTCATGAGGGTGCCATCCTATAAACTTTCCAAGGTGAATTGAGACCATGGAAGCATATGCGCATATAAAAATAATACTAAGGAGACCAGCCTCAAGGACTTATTGGACAAGCCAAACCAAGGATGTGTTGTAACTTCCTCATCTGGACCGTACAAAGTGAAAGAGTAGCGAATGCAATGGCAATGACCCCCCACCAACCTATCTTCTGAGACCTACTGTGTGCATCAAGGACTGACAGGCAGAGTTCTCAACTCTCCTTGAGGCTTCAGCCGATGACGTAGCCTGCTTGACTTCAATCTGCCCATCCACCTGCTGGCCCGTCCGGACCCGAACCCACTGTTCTTGTTCTAATTTGGTTTTGCTCTCTTGTCCCTGCAGCTGACAATATCTTTGCCCTCCACCCTGACTATCTTGTGGCCTGAAGTAAAGAGCAGCAGCTTGCTCTCCGCGGCTGGTTCGTGGTTGTTACTTATCAAGACAGACTCTACTCGAATCTTTTATCAGCTTACTTCTGAAAGCTCTTACACGCTACCATAGCTGAAGTTGTATTCATCCTGTAAATCATATATATGCATATTTATGGTGTGCTGTTTAATACGAGTGTTAATATTAGTAACTGAGATTGGAATAAAATAATCTGCAGTTGCTTTGGCCAGATTACCAAAGCAGGTGGGATTGCCTGGCAAAGGGCTACCATTGAAACTTTTCTATCTTGTGAATCCATTGTCAGTCCCTAAAAACCTGACACTAGAAAGACACAAACATGCTTGTCTATGTTTCTGGCATAGCAGTTTCACAACTGACAAGGATCATTGAATTGTTTTAAGTTAAAAAACATTTAAATTTTGGTAAAGGTTAGCTTTTCCCTTCTTTAATTTGCTGACACTGTGAGTTAACACACTGGCAGAAAATAAGGAGGAAAATGCTGTGAGACCCTTCTGTGTTGTCTGAGCATTTCTGTCAGGTTAGAACAAAGAGTGCCATATGCAGGACTGTATCAAAGTCACGTGAGAGAAGCTGCAAAACAGGGACTGAGGTAAAACATAGTAGGAAGCTACATTTAAGTGCCTGGTCCAGCTGTGTTAACGATCAGTCGTGTGTCTTCAGGCTGCCTCGGCTCTACATATTTCAGTAAATATGAGAGATGAAAAGGGCTGACTATGTTCCTCCATTTAACAAGCGAGGTGCCAAGTATTCCGGGCATCATTCTGAATTCTGAAACATCATTTTGGATTGAAAGTGAACAGAGTTTTAGGTGTGCCAGACCACACACACGCGCACACACACACACACACATACACACACACACACACACACACAAAACTTATTTGAATACTTTCAAAAGTGTCAAAATAGTGATATCTATCTCTATAAATAGTTATATGGGCTTACCCATAATTCTGGCAGTTGGCACAGTAATAATTAGGTATACAGTTGGTGCTAAGTGAATGTTTTGAATCAAGTGTCATAGGGTGAGTACTAAGTTCAAAGGGTAAGTCAGAGCAATTTTAACTTTACAGAGTAATGACATTTTCTTTTCCTTGTTTTTTTTTTTTTTTGACACTCTTTTTTTACTGTTTCAAATAGGGTCTCAAAATTTAGAGACCAGGTTGGCTGGGAACTTATTATGTAGCCTATGCTTGCTTTAAACTCCCGATCTTTCTGCCTCAGCCTCCCAAGTTCTGGGTATGCAGGCATCTACCACCATAACCAATCCTACTGTTTATGAGTTCCTCATTTATCTAAAGTTGGGTTCTGTAAGAGAGTAGATGAGTGGTACATTGCTAAGACTACTACATTAGCAAGTAGTGGATTTAGAGTCTTGGCTCCACTACACTTTAATTTTGAAATCCTGGTAAAAGCCATTCCTCTAGGGTTCTTTTTAACAGAAAGGTTATTTTCCTTGCTGCTTCCCCTCCAATAAATAATTTTTATAGATAGAAATCAAAGCCACTTTGTTAGCGTTATAAAATGTAAATGCATCATCATCATTAAATCATTACGAAATAAGCCTGTGCACTAAATACTCTAATTATTATCTAATTATGCAAAAATAGTGGTGCTGAGCTCATACACAAAGAAAAGGCAATTCTGGTTAGGATGAAAGGGTTGGTGACTGTGACAGACATCAGTGGTGTCAAATGTCTGACATGGTGAGACTTGAGACGGGACTCCAGAAAGAGAAAAGGTAAGGCCATCTCAGGCAGCAGGGAAGCTGAAGCAAAGACTGGGCGTAGGGAGAACCACAAATGCAGAGTGCCTTCTGACTGCCAGGTAGTGATGATGTGGCTCGTTTCCCACGCACACAGACCCGGCTAGGTGTTCACAGAAGATTCTAGAAAGCTACCAGACACAAGGTTAAAATCCTCTGCTACTTGGTTAATTTGTAAACATACTGTAAGAAGTGGTCACCGGTAGGCACTGCGCTTTACAGTTTACAACAGGCTTTTCCCGCCCCGTCTCTCTTCCTTTCACAGACCCTCAGAAGTCACCCTGGAGAAGTCATTGACTGAAGCCCCAGGGAATGGCCCTCCTTATATAACGGAGGAAGTACGGCAGAAAGAAGAGGTAGCAGCTTCGAGGCCAGGGATAGAGGCTCAGGCCACACCTCAGACCAGGCGGGCCAAGAATCTGAAGCAGCGGTCGGGGCGGTGCTCGCCAGCCAGCCCGAGCCGCTCGTGCCAGACCGCTTCCTACTCACCCCTGTCTCTAGGACTGGCGCCCCGGGATGGCACCGGGAGGCACGACCCGCACAGGGCCGCCCCTCCCGCCAAGTCAGGTCACTGCACCCGCAGGGACAGACCCCAGAACACCAGAGCCCGGGAGCTCTGAAAAATCAGCCCAAGGCGCTCAGCCGCAGAGCCCTCTGGGAATTGTAGTTCCGGTTCCCCGAGGCTCAGAAGTACGCGGGCCCCTTCCAATCCCGAAGAGCCCCGCGCGCAGATGGCTTGGCCGTCCCGGGCTCAGGGTCTACTGGGAAGGAGAGTTCCAGCTCTCAGATGACGTGGTCAATGAGAGCAGTAGGGGACTACATTTCCCGAAGTGCTCAGAGGTGGGCAGGACCCGGAAGTGAGGGCGTGAGAGGCCTCTCTGGAAGTTGTCCCGGGTGTTCGCCGCTGGAGCTCCGGGTCGAGAGGACGAGGTGCCGCTGCCGCCGGCCCCCGGAGCCCAGCCCTTTCTTAGTCCGGTCCAGTCCCAGCCGCCACCTCCTGACCCACCGCGGACCCCACCGATACCATGAATCCTGCAGTCTTCCTGTCTTTACCCGACCTCAGATGCTCCTTGCTGCTTCTGGTGAGTGTATGCAGGGATGACAAACCTTCCGACTGCGTCCCTGACCGCCTCCCGCCCTCCGCGAGGGGGAACGGTGCTGCCCCTGCTAGCCTCGACCCTCCTCCGCTGGCGAGGCATGCACCCCCTGGAGCTGCCTTCACTTTGGCCCGTTCTTTTGACTTCTTGGGCCCTCGGTCCACGAGGCCTGCGGAACCTCAGTCAGGGATTGGGACCTCCAAATGGGAGAATTCGCCTTAAGGGAGTGATACGTGGGAGGTCACAGCCGAGCCCCCCTGGAGTACGTTTCCGTTTTGTGGATAGTGAGGACCTGCTTGGGGCACCAGAATCCTAAGGGACCGAGGGGACATCTAATGTTTTCTCCCACACTGGGAAGGGTGTGAACCAGACAGGTGCTGGGGTCGTGTGATTCTCTGGATCCTCAAAACAGGCTGGCAAAGCCCTCTGTTGTGGCTTCTTGTGATTGGTTGGAAACCCGGAACTGGAGACTGGTTTGGTGTGTACTGGGAGAATAGGAATTTGAAAAGATGGAGGGTGTGATTATCTGACAGGTTCTTCTAGGGCCTCCCATAAGCCCTGTTGCAGCCTATCTCCCCTCCCCGACTGCAGCATGTCTTTGACAGTGCTCTCGACTTGAGAATAACCAGCTGTCCTGCATGCATTTGTGATTAGTACTTCCCAGCCTGACGGGCATCATCCCATCTTCAAAAAGAATCTTTCCCCAGTTTCACTTCCTACGAAGTATATCTTGAGAGTGCTACTGAAGTGGCCAAATTGAGACAGAAGTGGAAGTCTAACTCCGTATGGGAAAGCGAGAGGAGTGTGTTTAGGCTGTTATGACTCAGTATTTGAAAATACTTGAATTGTGGTAGATTCTTAGAAAGCTAAATTTAAGGTGAACACCATTGAATATAAATTACTTTCTTCACAGTTTAGGAATAATAATTCACTTGCAAGAAGCTATATAGTTGGTTACTGGCAAGGCTGAATCTTGAAATAGATCTCTTAATTTGTAGTGTGTATTCCACCGTATCACATAAGAAGTTTAACGCTTGTGCTTGAAATACTTTTTATTTTTATGATGACTCGAAAGCCATTTTTAAAAGCTATATACAATAGCTTCTTTTCAAAATAAAATAGTGTAAGCTAAATGAAATAAAGATACTTCTGAAGAATATAAAGTTTTGTATAAACAAGGCAATATTAAATGATAGAATGCCTTGTTAGCACTTTAGTATAGAGCAGTAAATTCTTTATAGAAAAACATTTTCTTCTCTTTCTCCCTCTCCCTCCCTTTCTCTCCTTCCTTCCCCCTTCCTTTTTCCATCCCTCCCTCCCTCCATTTGTGTGTGTGTGTGTGTGTGTGTGTGTGTGTGTGTGTGTGTGTAGCTTTATTATGCATTGTGGCACTTTCTAGAACTGTCATGATGATGCTATTAGAGGCCATATACTTCTTAAGGACCCTAATTACTAATCTTTTTCTTATCATAAAGAGTTGTTTGTTAGAAATTATTTTTAGGTGACTGAAAAGTTCAACAGTCAAAAATCTAAAGACATTGAAAAGTTGAAACATTGAGTAGGAAAATGATGTCAATCAAACCAATTTTAAGAATGAGAACATTTATTTTGAAATAACTCATGCCTTTTTTCTAGAGAATCTATCAATCACGTTAAATATCTAAACGATGGTTTTGTCTCAAATAAAGCCTATATTTCACTAAACAGTTATAAATACATTGTGTATTTATCTTCCTAAGCAAAGGTAGAAGAGAGGGCTGGAAACATAGAGAACTCCTGTAAAGATTAATGGGTTGGAAAACAACGCCTCTGAAAAGTTTTCATAAACCAGAAGTACAAGTCAAACTAGATTCAACTTGAGCACAATGTTTGCTTACTTCGTTCTAATAATCTAATACTAGTTTAGCAGATATTCATAAAACATATGTCTAATCTCAGCAGTGAGAAGTAGCCTGTCTGACTGCTAATTCAGACATAATGATGAAACCTGCTTACTCAGTATCCTACCTGTCTAATGAATAATTCTCTGATGGCTCGTACAGACAGACATAGAAAACTCTTAGCTGAGATCATCATTTTTCCCTTACATGCTTGGACATCCATATATTCTTTTACTACAATAAGAGGAACTCTGGATCTCACTCTTGAAGAGTAGCTACTAATACCTACTTAAATTTGTAGCGATTGTACAATAGTAGCTGAAATGTTAACACTGAGTTTCAGTAGACAAGTGACTCTCTTTTCCCTAATCACAGAAGTATTCTAGAATACATTACTCCATGCAATAAGAGGTGGGTCACTAACCACCAACACTCGGTGTGATAACTCTTCCTTTATGTGCTTAATGACCTTTTCTGCTCTGTGTCTGAGATAGGTTGATTGAGAATTAACATAGGTTCTTTTCTGCTTAACTGTTTCTTAGCCGTGTTCCCTGCATTGATTTGTGCAAGTTTTTAAAATGTGAGATAAGAGAGAGATGGCCAAATCAGAATTAATTTGTGTCAGATAGCCTAAGTAAGCTCTGTGCTTTAGAGATTTTTAACCCTTTTTTCCAGTTGTTTTACTGAAGGTGTCTTCTCACTAATCTCTTGATCATTATGTTCAGATATCTAGTCCTTACTAGCTTTGATAGTCCTGTGCTTGTATAAGGTAATACTTCTGCTGTTGTTGCTCTTGGTTTGTTTACTTTCTGTAAGTATAGGAAGCCAAGAAAATATTACCTAGTTTAGGAAGCTATATAATCAGAGTGCTAAGTAAGCACTTTTATATATCTGCTGAATATATTTTTAAGATTTTTTAAATTGTTTTTATTGAGTTATACATTTTTCTTTACTCCCCTCCCTTCAGTCATTATGTCATTAATGCCAACAATAAAGAAAATGTTTAATCTTCAAAAAAAAAAGTACTACTGGAAGCATGTAATTATTTCTGCAATGGTGGGTTACTTACTCTTTTTACATAGCTTGTCCTGTATCCATGGCTTACCCTGCGGTGCTACTCTTTACAACAACCTGGCGCAGTGTTAATAACCTGCAGTTCGGTGGTGTGCTGGGTTCCGTTCCCAGCCACACAGCAAGCAGACAAATAAACAAAAACACGGTTCCCTGGGCCATACAGGGCACAGACATTAATTTAATTCCCCCCAAACACTATTATTATACCTATAAATTTATTCATATATTACTTGATGTTTGAATATTCTTTATTGTGTCTGTTTTTAAAAGCTGATTGATCAAATCGGAGCCGTATAAATTCCATGCATGCTAGTTGGTTTGTCTCCTATAACTTTTAGGTGTCTGGAATTGAACCCAGAACCTTGAGCGCTGTAAGCACACACTGTATTACTGAGCAGCTACCAGCCCAAGGTGTATAAAGTCTGTAGCTTAGTTGTCCATCTCATTTTTTTCTTTCTTGGTAAATTCTTTAGGAGCTGTGCTGTAGAACATCTCAACCTCCTGTTATCATTGGTTGTAGCCTCTTGGTATTTACTAGTAGAAATCTGTAATTCAAATTTTGTGGTTTTTCAACCACCAGCTCAATATCCATTGCGAACTTTGCTTATTTATCTTTCAAGTTAAGTTTTTGAAAGCTTATTATTTACTTCATAATGTATGAAATTTATGATCTTTTTGGTTTTTCAAGACAGGGTTTCTCTGTAGCTTTGAAGCCTGTCCTGGAACTAACTCTGTAGACCAGGATGGCCTCGAACTCACAGAGATCCGCCTGCCTCTGCTTCCCGAGTGCTGGGATTAAAGGCATGTGCAACCACCACCCAACCAGAAAATTATGAATTTTTTTTAAAGCAAATCATATTGTGTTAAGATAATTCTAATTTCTCCATCTGTTTCTTCTGCTCTTACCAACCTCCTAATATAAGAAGACTTAGTATTGTTTTTACTTTTATGGTCATTTCTTTTTTAAAATCAGTGAAGTTACTGACTTTGTCTGTATGTTTTTCTAGTTTGATTAAATTATATTTATTGTTCATAGTTTTTCACCTTAAAATTATAAAAGATACCTTTAAAGTTTTATATTAAAGGTGTTGAGATGGAACTATTCCACATTTGTGTGTTCGTGTGTGTGTGTGTGTGTGTGTGTGTGTGTGTGAGAGAGAGAGAGAGACAGACAGACAGACAGACAGACAGACAGAGTGCATGTGTGTGTACAATCAGAAGACCAGAAAATGACTTCACACGTTGTCCTTATATGATGTCTACCTTGATTTTTGAGACAGGACCTCTCATTTGTTGGAACTCCTTTAAACTCGAGTTTAAAGAATTTCAACTAAAGGATTCAGTTAATCCTTTGATAGTTTCATATATGTGTATAGTGTGTTCTAGTCATTTCCACACGTGATCCACTTTCATCTCCTGGCCCTTTTCTGCTGAAACCCGTCTTCCCAAGAAGTTTCCTTTCAACCCTCGTGCCAGAGAGAGAGAGAGAGAGAGAGAATATGCATGTGTGTGAGTGTATGACTCACTGAGTTTACTTAGAGTTGCTTTCGTGAGCATGCGTGGGAAGGTTATTTACTGGGGCATAGGCTACTTTTACATGGTACACCACTGATAAAAATGATACCCCCTTCTCCAGCAGTCATTAACTGCCAGTGGTCCCTCATGTAGCAGTGTGGTCTCATGTGCCTCTCTCCCATCCATGAAGAAATGCTGAGAAACCCTGTCTTGTGCAGGTCACCACAACTGCAGTTAGTTCATGAGGGTGACAACCGTGTTATGTCCATCAGACATCTTTTTATGGCGTACCACCTTACTCTTCAGCTCCTACATCTTCCCACCCGTCTTCCACAGTGTTCCTCGAACTTCGGAGGGAACAATGTAGACATCACATTTAGACATTTAGGACTGACTAGTCCACTATCATCTGGGGTGGCACTTTGACTAACTAGTTATGAGCTTCAGCATTAACTGCTACCCTCAGCTTTAAGATTTTTTTTGAGGAGGACTGGGAGTAGCATAAAGCTGTGGATA